AAATGGCTAATTTTTCAAAATCTGATATGTGTGCGATCATCCCTAGACCATTACGCACTAATGACGTATCATCGTAGCCTAATAAATCCCTTCTTGAGATATCCTCAGACAGACAGACAAGTGGATGCAAAGTAACACCACCACCACACACACACACACACACACACACACACACACACACACACACACACACACACACACACACACACACACACACACACACACACACACACACACACACACACACACACACACACACACACACACACACACACACACACACACACACACACACACACACACACACACACACACACACACACACACACACACACAATAATAATAATACGCCACACACACACACACACACACACACACACACACACACACACACACATACACACACACACACACACACACACACACACACACACACACACACACACACACACAATACCACACACAAATTAACACACACAACACACACACAATAACACACACACACACATTATTAATAATACCACTACACGCACACACACACACAACACATACAATAACACCACACACAACTAATGGCCACGCCACAGGCACACACACACAAACACACACACACACACACACACACACACACACACACACACACACACACACACACACACACACACACACACACACACACACACACACACACACACACACACACACACACACACACACACACACACACACACACACACACACACACACACACACACACACACACACACACACACACACACACACACACACACACACACACACACACACACACACACACACACACACACACACACACACACACACACACACACACACACACACACACACACACACACACACACACACACACACACACACACACACACACACACACACACACACACACACACACACACACACACACACACACACACACACACACACACACACACACACACACACACACACACACACACACACTATTTCTTTTATACCTAGTAGGATTTGCATAAGCAAAGGGATATCACACTATATCTAGCCTTAAAACTTCGAAAATTCTTAGCCAAAAAAATCACAAAAATAGCTTTCTTTCACTAAAAGGAGCTAATTTCTTACATCTCAAACTATAATTTTTAATGGGTTGAAAAAAGCCAGGATTGACTAAAAACGTTACTAAAACAATTTTTGTTAAATTACTAGGCAAGTATTTCGTCGTAGGAAAACCCTGGAAATCCAAAAAACTTAAATTTAGAAACGCAACACACCTGTGGCCACCCTTGAAATTGTTACGGGCCAATCGGCAACTGACAATCTCCCCGAACGCCTCGAACACGCTTTTGACATCAGCTTCAGAGAGATCAGGATGAATCGATGCGACGTATACTCTAAAAACACCAAATTCTAAAATCTTCGCTTCCTGCTTGCCTAAAATATTTCCTGGCCTCCGACTGGATCATGTCGATGATGGGCTGGGCTTGCGGGGTGGCGGCCGACGAGCGCCCGAGCTGTAAAATACCAAAGTTGTTCGGGGACCGCGAAACTAAATTGGTTTTCTGGGGCACAAAAATTGGGCCGACGCTAGGGGTTTTGGTTAAAGTGGCAAAAATCAGCAGCTTTTTTCGTTTAATATAATTAGAAATTGGCAGGTAGTGCCTGCACACTGCTTCAAGAAAAAAGAGACCCGAAAGGTGAGTAATTCAGAATTTCCGGCAGCTTCGAAATAGACGACAATTTCTTCTGTAAAACACGAAAAACAAGATTTAATAAATAAAACAGGAGCTTTTCACGATCATTTTCCGGGGTAATACAATGAGTCTTTTTCGATAGGCCAGAAGAGCCGTAGCTGGCCAAAATAACAGTTCCGGCACGATTGTCAAGTCGAAAACCACGATACTACTTAGAGAAACTGGACTGTGGACGGGTCGAGCCAAACACTAAAAAGCCGGTGCAGGCACGTACCGCCGCTGCCGCTTGGCTTTCTTGCAGAAGTCGGGGGGTGCAGCACCTTAAGATTCCGCCCGCCCATCAGCACGCCGTTCATCGAATCCTGGGCCAGCTGGGCGGCCTCGGGCACGTCGAACTCGAGGAACGCGTAGCCCTTGTGGTGCTGAAAAAAAAGTTTAGTCTAAACCGAATATCGTTGGAGCTTTGGGGTTATCCGGGGAGGTTCTAAAATAAAAAAGCAAGCGTTTTAGAATCTTTTTACAATTGCCACGCAATAACTACAGCTTTTTATTAGCAACCACCAAAAAAAAACAAGATGTCGACCAAAATTTCAATGTTTAAAACACTTTTTCTAAGCTTTCTAGATAGTTTTGCGCCAAATTTTACTAAATACACCAAGATACTCCGGTTTAAGTCGTTATGTGTACCTGGAAAGCGCAAAAAACCTCGCCCCTCCGATAATGCGAAAGGACCGAAGCTAAATAGTTCCCTTACCCCCGTACTCGTATCCCAACTCATGTTCAGCGTCTTGATCGGCCCGAACGGGCTCATGATTTGGCGCAGCTTGTCTTCGGTTACCTAAAAAGATATAAAATTTAATTAATTTTTCAAAAAAGCGCACCTCAAAAGAAATCGAGCCAACATATACTCGGGCCATCAGCGCCAACGCTTGTGCGTACATGTGCTGCTTTTGTTGCTAAAAAAGAAATAAAATTAATAAGATTAAAATTACATTCTGCTGATGGGCCTGCTGTTGCTGGAGCATAATCTGTCGAATCGAAATGTCCATGGCGTATCGCTTGGCCTCGTAGAGTCGATCCTTGTCCCTGGAACGCAGCTTCTTTAGACCCAAGCCAACCAGAGCGGCTTCTTTCTCCCCGCCCACGCCGACGAATACCTAAAATGGAAAAGTGATATAAAGAATATTGTAGTAAATAAATCAAAGTAGTAAAAAATGAAAATTTGCGCTCACCTCGCCAGACTGCTGAAGTAGGGGCATCGGGATCGAGACGGGCTTTATGTCGACGATGGTTGGGTGAGCTGGGGTTGACTGTGGGGCGCTGGACAGCTGGCAGCTTCCTCCTTGATATCGATGTCAGGCTTCGACTGAAAATAGAGCATAATAAGAGCGTATATCTTACAAAAAAGAAAATTAATTACTTCAGTTATTCATAAAATATTACCTTTGACCTCAACGCCGGAAAAACCCTCATCTTGCGGCTCGGTTTTGATGGAAACTTCGGCACCTTCCATCACCAAAATGCTACAAAAAAAAGTTGATAGTGTTGAGCCACAAAAAAACGGAAGTATCAGAATGAAAGCAAAACGCTAAAAGGAAGAGCTGGAAAACGACAAGGCATATTTTTATGAAATATGTGGCAGAATTTTCGTAGAATCAGGATAAAAAACACCAGCCCAAACCTGTCAAAAAGGCTGAGGAATAGCAGAAATGAGACAGAACGCTCTTGCTATCAAACCGATATCGATCGCGTTATGGGGTTGCAAATCAAGCACGCACTTTTGAACGTATTTTGTATAACGGCGTACGCATTAAGGAGATTATATCGAACAGAATAACAGAAAAGCAAAATTATGAATCGGAGCTTATCAAGCTGGCCTAACCGAATTCCGAAAATCAGCGAAAGGTGCTCTTTGCAATGTTATACTGGCACAGTATGTGCTTCCTAAAGGGCCGAGCTTCGCGTATTAGTATTTTCTGAATTCGGAGAAGCCAAAGCGGGATTTTGCAACGAATCAAGCGCAGCGCGCGGGCGCGTCGCCAAGGTGCTTTATGCCACAAAAATGGGCCGCGCTACTTGCCCGGGCGTCGCGGCAGTGCAGCGGCGGGAAGGGCAGGGCGGGCGAGCGATTCAAGGGAACGACCGCCGGAATTTGAAGCAGGGTTAGAAATACGCCAACCCAAAAGAAATGTTTGTACAAAGGTTCTTTGGGTTGAAAAGAAAATTTCCAAGAAGAACCAAAAAACTAGAACACCTTCCTTGGACTTCCGATTCGCTACATTGACGGAACCGAGTGTACTGTTGCGTACTGTACTCTCCAATAGTGTTACGGTATTTGGGCAAAGGATCATGTAGTACGATAAGAAAAGTATTTTTCTTCCGGAAAATGATACCGTATGTTCGTACTGTATCCAGGGCTAATGTACGATATTTCGATGCCGTTGACCAGACCACATAAAGCGGAGATCTCCTAAATTTATCAGACAACCTTTATCAATCACTCAAAAATCACCAATTTTTGCCAGAATTAAACTGTAATTAAAAATCATTCAAGTTAAGCTAAACTGCTGTTCAAACATTTATCACGCAAAAAAATTCTCAATGCATCGAGCCGTTTGAGGCCACTGTGTACGCTTCGGGGATCGGCTTCGATATTCCGGTTAAGCGCTAAAGTACATCGCGTGCAGCTCACTCCGCAAGATCTAACATTGTAGCAGCGTGGATCGACCGGACCTTTCTGGGGCCAGTTCGCATAGAATGTCGCCTGAAACCGTCATGATACTTTGAGATTAAAGGTTATTTCCTGCCTTTAGACCGATATTTTTAGTGCGCACCTCATTAATCATGGCGCGGACAGTGATGTGCTGCGCCTCGCTCTCGTCAGGGCAATCACGAACGACCCGGTCAAAATATATGCTGTAGAGTAAGGGCGCAATGCTAAACTCTTTAATTAAAAGCCGCTATAACTGACAAGTGCAAAGCCGCTAGCGCAAAGTTTTATTTTATTAGTGAAATAGCTCATCTCACGCCTTTTTATCCAATTGGTTCCGAATATGCAGCTCATCTTGGCCCAAGGCTTTTAGTTTTCGAGATGTAAACTGTTTTCTGTAACTTCTTGAAATATTTAAGTGACTATGGAGTTTATCGAGCCGGGGTAAACAAATATGGGGACTCCGATGCAATCAAAATCAAGTTTTATTTCCGACAATAAATCGTTATTTTTGATTTGTTAAGAAAATTCTAAAGAAAATTGTTGGCCCAAAACTCGTTGTTTGCAACGGTTAAAGGAGCTTAACTCGAAAACTAAAAGGCCCTGGCAAAATTGAGCTGAAAATACGGAATCAGCGTAAAAAAACTGCACGAGATGAACTATCTCACTAACTAACAAGGGAACCACTTAAGGTCGAGGTGGCGTTTCGTTATGGGACCCAGCCCATTTTGTGCAGAATTTTTTTGCTGATTCCGAACCCGCTTTCAATTTTTGCCAAATAGCCCGATTTAAAAAGTTACGGGGATTTTAAGATCATATTTGAGCCCGCGGGAGGTCATCTGTCACGATGCCCAACATTTTTGTTTTAATATGCCCATCCATTTTAAATAGCCTATCTTGTAGAGATTTTTTTTCTGATTCGAATGGTATACTTGATTACTGCGCTACTGCCTATCGATGATCACTTATGGGAGTGTGAAATAGCCTGTTTTACTCGTTAGCCTGTTTTTCAATCGTCGATTTTTTCGATTTCCAAGAAATTTGAGTTAAATAGCTCATTCTATAGAGAAAAATTTTCTGAATACGATGGCGATATTCGTTTTTGCTGAATCAGCAGGGAAACGCAAAATAAATGGCTTTGAAGTTGACAAATTTGGGAAAAAATGGAACTTTGAAGCTCTATAACTTTTTAAAACGGGCTATTTGGCAAAAATGAGCAGCGGATTCGGAATCAGCGAAAAATTCTGCACAAAATGGGCTGGGTCCCATAACGAAACGCCACCTCGACCTCGGGTGGTTCCCTTGTAACTTCGTTTCGTTCCGACTTTTGGTTTTTGGCTACACACAAATACACACACACACACACACAAAGATACACAAAAAGTTCCGACTTCGACCCGCCGGGTTTCCTTGTGAGTTCTGATGCTCCGCGATCCACAATTTTACCTGCATTTAATTTTTGGCAAAGCCTTCTCCAGTTGATTATCAGGACGTCCGCCCGCAAAGCAGGTTTTGATATTGGCATCTGTAGTAAAAGTTACTGATGATGGCTTTTGAATAAATTACAATCCGACTTGAGAGCACGGCCCTCACACATCTCTCCCTGGAGAAAACCTCAAGTGCCCGTCCCCATGTTGTCGTGGCATTGTTGATCCTAAAAATATTCGTTTTGCTTTGGTAAAAACGCTACATGCAGATTCGTTCGGCGTAGATGAACACGTTGTTGGCCTAAAATTTTGAGGTGAATAAGCAGTGTGAGTGATTAGAGTCATGATTCAGAATATAGGAACCTACCTGAAACGGCATTTCAGCTTCCTCGAGTGTTCCTGGCGGCGGTGCCGGTGGCGCTGCTAAATTGCAGGGGATATATGGATTTGGGTAAAGGTTGCTTAACGGGGGGGGGGACAAATAACGGGGGGTGAAAACAAATTTTGTATTTATTAATAATATCCTGCTATTTTGAAAACTCCATCGGATAGAGCGTCGAAAATTATACGAAGAGCTTTAATTTCAGCCCAAAAAACCTCATTTTTAACGATTTTTAATTGTTTAACCCTTTAGCTTAAAATTCCGAATTATTTTTAGGGCTGTAATCAGCTTACCAAGGCTCATCCCAATAAGGGCGAGCAGGGTTGGAAGTAACTGCAGCATCCTGGAATAAGCTTTTGCTAGATTGGCAAACACACGAGAAAATGGTTTTTTTTGCAGGCGGTGATACTCCCACAAATGGGCAGTAGCTTTTAAGGCGAAAGCCCAGCCAAAACACTGATTCATTTTCAAACAGAGAAGTCAATTTCGACCCCCGAGTAACCACATAAACTCCCGTTGGGAGTGCCGATGAATGGACAAACGAAACAAAGGGCCAAACCGGGCAAAATAGAGGGCTAAATTGTTCAGGGTATGCGCTGATTCCGAGCCTGTTTTCAAAATCGGCGAAATGTTAAGGTTCCAAAAAATAATGAAGGGTTTAAAGGGGCTACGAACTGCCAAATCAAAGCCCTTTTGGGAAGGCTCTTTGATTTCTGGCAAATTGCCAGCGGGCGCTGCGGGACCAGAGCATTTACTCTTTCGATTTTTGCGCGAAGTTGTTTTTGCCCGGTTTCTTTGTGAAAACACTATCATTCGCGCATTATGAGCCCATTTTTGATATCCTCACTCAATTTTAAATAGTTTTGGTGTTTTAAGCATCAAATTTGCCCCAGAAACAGCCGAGAACGTGACTTCGAGGTCACAACAGGCAATTTCAAATTTGCGAGCTTCCCGGCCCCTGGGCGTACAGAGGCCTCCGACGTACAGGGTTCCGATTTTCAGGCCGTCACTCAATTTTTGGCATTTCTGGGCCCCTTTAAGTGGGGGAAAAGGCCCTAAATGGCCCAATTTCGGCAAATTTTTGCCACATGGGCTTGTGATTTGCTGTTTTTAATGCGAAAACATGTATTTTTTGTAAATTTGTCATGACTGTTTTGAATTTGCGGCAAAACAACTCAAATAAATATATTTATCCGGGGGAGCGGCTGGGAAGGCGCACACACGAAACAAAATCAAAATATAGAACTCAAAATATATATAGAATTCTCTGTCTGCAATTATCATAGATACTTTCTGCAAGAAAAACCGGGGGTATACATTCACGCGAAAAAATTTCAAAAATCACCGGCTACGGCATCGTCCTGTGTACATTGTTCCAATTTGTTTGTTTGGGTCATCATCGGGAAAATGAAAGGGTGTGGGGTAGGGATTAAAGGGGCGGTGACAAGTCGGAAATGTTATTTTTTTGTCTTTTCTACCATTTAAAAAGGACAGCTACAAACTGCTCCTACATACGCCATAGTAAAACGTCTAAAATTTGGCTTTTACACATTTTCTAACGGCAGAAATGCCTTGACTCCGTATCGCTTCTATAAACGACCTTGTAATACCTCAAAATTTTGAATTTAGCACATTTTCTAATGCTGAAAAAGCTCGACTACACGATGCTCCTATCTACGCCACAGTACAACGTCCAAAATGTTCCCTATAACACATTTTCCAGCGCCCGAAAAGCTAGACTACGTATCGCTTCTATCTACGAGACCGAAATCCCTCAAAATTTCAATTTAACGCATTTTGTAATGCTGAAAAAGTTCTGCTACGCGATGCTTCTATCAACGTGAGGGTAGAATAAAAAATTTGATTTTCATGCGCATTTCAAAATTAGTTAACTACACGATGCTCCTCTATACAACCGTATTCGGTGCTAAAATCTTCGTAAAGCCATAAATTTCCTCGTGTCACCGTTCCTTTAAAGGGACGCGCAAGGCATGCATATGGATTTTAATAGCTAGAGATTGAGATGAATGCTGGAGATGAATTTAGTCGCGCCGCACGCGCGACGCGTGGCGAAATCGATTACGGGTCCTTAACGGAAGCCAGGCGTCGTGTAGCTTTGCTGCTCGCGAAAAACTCATAGTCCTGCTTTGCCCGTCCCTTTAATAAAAATTTCATGGGGCAGTGGCATGGATATCTTCTTCTGGTAATCGTTCATAGGCATATCCCTCGTCTTCTGGCGCTTCTTCGACCTGTACTTCCGTTACCGTATCTCGCGGAGGCTTGGTGACCGGCGCAACCTCGGCTTCATCATCGCTTGAGGCTTCGGAGTCTGAAAATTAACGGTAAACTCGTGCTCTCTATCACTCCCTCTCCCGCTTTCTTTCTGTCTATCTTTCTCTCCCTCTCTATCCTCTACCCACCAGATACATCCGAATGCTCTTCCTGAGAACTACTCTCCGGAATACTCCTCGTTTTCTGCTTCAACGTCGTCTTCTTTTCCCGTGATGATTCTCGCTGTGGTCGGACCGGGATCCCGTTTTGGAGCTTGGGTTTTGAGGCGTGAGGCTTCCAGTCGTCACCCTAAAAAGCAAATAAGTTAATTGAGACTTTTTAAGGGGCCCGCAAGGCAAGGAAAAATGCCAAGTGGTACCAAAAAAATCGCTAAAAAGCTGTGGGTCAGATGTTTTTTATTCCTCAGATAGTTAGAACTTTCAGAAGCGTCTGCGGCTTGTTGTGTCGCTCCCTTTAAACCCCAAAACCACCAAAACGCACCAGCTCTTCCTCATCTTCGCTCATTTTGTAGTAGATCTCGGCTTCATCTTCACTAGAGGACCATTCTTCTTCGTTTTGCTTGTTTTCTAAAAATTGACCATAATCTTTTCTTCCTCTCCGTTTCCCTCTCTGTCTCTCTCGCTCTCTCTCTCTCTCTCTCTCTCTCACTACCTTTCTCTAGATGGCTAGGTAACGGGATCCCGCTCGGCTTTTCCATGCTCTCCCTTCGTTCCCGCATGTCCAGGATTTCATCTGAATCGCGTTTAGTTCAAAAGTATCAATTCCTTAAAACTTTCTCCCTGTAGTCTGTAGCCTGGCGGATAGAGCGCAGGCTACAGTCTACAAAGTCTAGAGTCCTATGGTCGAAAAATCTGAGTTTTTGGAGTTGTTAGGGAAAAGAAAGGAGGGAAAAACGAGGGACAGTGCAGGGAAGGGTTTTATCGACTGATTTTTATAGGAGAAGCTAGGTTGAAGCCATATTCGTATTTCTGCTAATTCAAGCAACATGGACACAGAGGCCACGGCAGACACGTCATCGACAAGGGAGGGGCCAATTTAGAATTAAATTACTTACAAGAAATTAAATTACTTTTCTCGCTCTCGCTCTCTGGCTCTCTGACTCCCTTGCGTTCTCTCTCTCCCTCCCTCCCTCTCTCTCTCTCTCTCTCTCTCTCTCTCTCTCTCTCTCTCTCTCTCTCCCTCTCTCTCTCTCCTTATCTATGGTTCTCTCACTGTCTTTCTCTCGCGGGCTCATTCTAACGCTTATGCACAGTATCTCGTTCCCTCGCTCTTTCAATCCCTTTTCTTCTGGTACACCCTCTCCATATCACTTTTATCTCTCTCTCTCTCTCTCTCTCTCTCTCTCGCTCTCTCTCGTTCTCTAGCACCCTCGCACCGTTCTTAGTTTAAACATCTTAAACTTTTCTAGACAAACTCCTCGGAGCCGTAACCAAGGACAACGAAAGGAACGGAAAGACGCGGAAAGACGCTCAGCAGAGACAGTTACAGTAATATAATCATATTTTTTTGAAGTCGCCGAAATCACAGTACCGATGTCGATCTCATCTGCGCGGCTTCCGCGTCGGGACGCGGGTCGTGCGTATGGGTCGTCGGCTCCGAGAAGGCATCCGAATCCGGTAGACGATGAGGCAGAGGCTGAAGACCCCGGTCAAAACACGGCTCTCATCACACTTTTTGACTTTGCGTACACTCAACACCCAGCCTACAGATGGCTACGTTAAGGCTACGGTATTTTTTACAGTAGGTTGGGTTCGGTTTAAATTTGCCTAAATTTAGACACCTGTGTACGTATTTGCGCGTAGCTACGGTGCCGTACTAATTACGATGATGCAAATGCGTGCTTTTGAGGGTACGATAACGCGAATTTTTTTGCCTTGGCTATGGTACGCTTTTGGTACTCATTTTCAAGGGTTTTTAGTGAATTTTAGTGCTTAAAAATTATATATTTTAATGACAGCCAAACGCAAATTGTGATTCTTGACCAAAGAAACGCATTCAAACAATTTTAAGCTAAAATCAAACATTTTTGCGACGAGGAAAACGGTGCGTGCCTGTCAAAACATCCTTGTCGCACCTTACGTTTTTAAGGTATGTTTCAAGCATCAAAAGTATCCCAGTATTTAAATTTGAACTTTTCGAGCTCTCTAGAACATTGACGCCTAGGGCAAGCTTTGTGTCTACGGTAGCAGATTTTTGTGTGCATTCCCAGCCACCACGCATGCGCTCTTCTACGGATTTTGCAAGGGGGAGGAGGTAGCAGGGAGAGGGAATCAAGCTTTGTCGGAAGGCTATAATGCTTTGGGTAACTATATTTTGATGCTGTATTTTTAAAAATCGGTGCAATTGGCTATCTTTCAAAAGCTAGGGTTTTAAAGTAAAAAACGCTACATTTAAGAACTTTTTTCGAAAAGTTGAACTTTTACCTACATTTTTTAAGAACCAAAATCAATACACATTTTTAAAATTTGTTTTAGGGCAAGCGGCAAGCAACAAAAGGGAGGGCAAACGGACTGTAATTATTTGAAAAACGCAAAAATTTGCATCAACTGAGGGTTGGTGAATGAGCAAATATGATCTTGCGGTGAGTTAAACTGAATCTCGAACGGAACTTTTGGTGGTGCGATCAAACTTGGGGTAATTTTTGAAAGGTAAAACGTGGCTTTCATGAAAGCTACCATACCTGGGTTGTGATCGGGGAGTTGTGAGGTCTCGAAGAGGGAATTAGACGACGGCTGCATCACCAGGATTGGCACCGGCGGAGCCATCTGAGATCGGGAAATACGTTGCTACGGAAAGTTGCGGAATAGGGGTACAAATTCTTTGTCGGTACAAAGTTTAAAATATCTACCATATTCGTCTGCGTCACAGCGTCAAGCGTAGGCGTCAGGCTACGCGAGAAATCTGCAGACGCGTCTGTCGGGGTGACGGCCGAACTGGGAGCGCGGGCTTCGAATTGAGGGGTTGATTAGAGGATTGGATCTGGGGAGATGATGGTAGAAATTGAAATATCTCTTCCTTCACGCTCACTCTCACTTTCTCACTCTTTCTTTCTTTCTCTCTCGCGCTCTCTCTCTCACTCTCTACAAGAAGCGGGAACTGGCTCCAGGTCGGATATCTCGATTTCCGTGTCCGATTCTGAATAAATCACGGGTTGGTTGGTTGGTTAGTCACTGGTTTCTCATGCCTGCCCGGTTTCTCAATGAATTCTGAATACGAATGTCGATTTTTTCGGTTCTCTTTTCAGGACATTTCTCTCTCTCGCTCACCCCCTCTCTCACTCTTTGTCTGTTTCTCTCTCTATCTCGCTCTCCCCCTCTTGCTCCATATCTCTCTCTCTCCCTCTCTTTCACTCTCGCTCCCTCTCTCCTTCTCCCTACCCACCTATGATATACTGAGCATCAGTGTCCGCTCCTCGGCTATCTGGCGTCACCCGATCCGAAACTGGCAGCTGTGTTTCACTGAAAAAAAGTTAGAATTGATGACGTATGTAAACGGTTCTTCGAGGCGCCTATTAATGCGTAATCGTAAAAACCCGGATTCCTAGTCTCTTTAAAAAAGCTGGACTCACTCATACACATCAAACGACATCTCCTTCGGCAATTGTGAAGGGTCGCAGGCGAACATTTGCCGGGCCGCGCGGTCGTCTATCCGAGGTCCGGAGGGTGTTTTTGATACTGTAAGACGATAAATTTTGTAGCTGATTAATTATCTGTTATAAAATTCGAGTATCGGGGCCTAAAGCTTTCGAATCAAAATTTGTAAGACAAACCCGGCTCATCAATTTCGGTGTAGCCGCCGACTATTATCGCCGCTGGTCGCTCCTCTCGGCAGCTGCCGTTGGGCATGATTATCTAGAAAAAGGGTATTAAAAGTTTAATATTAAAATAGCGCGAATAATAAGATTTAATAGCACATTTAAAAAGATAAAAGCAATTAAAATACACAATATCATGGGTAACTTGATTTTTTTTAATCTTTGAGTTGTGGTCAATGGAAAAGCAATATTTTAGATATTAATTTAAATTGTAGCCTCAATCTCCAATTTTTAAAAAGTTTGCGGAGTTTAAATTATCTATTTAGTTTTCTTAATTTTGTAATTGCTTTGAAATATAGAACTTTAACTGAATTCAACGATCTAAAAAATTTTTGAAACCTCATATGGAAGCTAGCTAGCAGTTTAAGGCGTAATTAGCATATTTTAATTTATATATACAATTTTTGTGGGTTAATTTAGTTAGTTGTTATACATAAATTATTTTAATAAGCCCACATGGTTCTTCTCGGCGCTCTTTCCCCGCTCGCTCTTGCTGTGGCTTCTGCTCCGCTGCTCCGGGGCAATGCTGCCTGAAAAAAAGAAAAATATAGATTTTCAAGCACTTTTCAAAGATTCAAAAACCAGTGAATATGCTATTTAAAGCCTTTTAAAGCGTTTTTAAGCATTAATTATGCAAATTTCCCTTCTATTTTTTTGCAAATCCCCTCCCACACACCATAATCGTTGACGGGCTTTCGGGCAATCGCATTCTCCTCGCTCGCCTTCTTCTCACGGGCACGACGCTTCTTCTCCTCGCGATTTCTGGAAATGATTCGCTTATCTTCACTCCTTCTCTATCCCCCAAGAGAGTCCCTTAGGGCCCAAAAAGGGGCCCAAAAGGACCCAGACACAGACGCAGAAGAGGGTCCACAAAAACACGGGGAAACATGGTAAACATGGACCGACGCATTCGTCATATCTCTCTCTCTCTTTCTCTCTCCCCCTCTCTCTCTCGCTCTCGCTCTCTCACTCACTCTCGCTCTCTCCCTCTCTCTCACCTATAGATCTTGATGGCTCCGATCGTCCAGCAGATCACGAAAAACGCCGCAACCCCATAGAGCAGCCACAACAGCTTCGAGTTGTCGGTATCTGCCTTCGACAGCACCCGGCGGATACTGTAATTCAGTACCATAAGAGCTCGAATTTGCCTAGTTTTTACTGCCAAGCTCCCTTAAAAATGACTCACTGGCTGACGCGGACGCTGTCGATCCGAATCCCGCCGAGTATCCGTGATAGTGGGCCGACCTGGGAGCCGAGGATGTACTTGATCTAAAAATGCGCTTTTCAGGCTTGAAATTTTCCCCAAGGATCGCTGCTAGCCTGCCCAAGGCCTGAAGGGATTCCTTAGGCCCTCTAAAAAACGAGCCCCGTCAATGGTCGATTTTCTAGTTTTCCAAATAATCTCTGCTAGCCGGCTCTTCCCCTAAAAGCTACCTTGACCGGATCGATGAGCGTCCTATCGTTGAGCTTGAAAAATACGCCATGTTTCGCGACCGCAAACTGTATCCTCGTGTAGTTGCGAGGCTCAGGCACGACCCGGACGATGATTACGTTTTCCTGAAAAATTCAGGACTTCGAAATGTTACAAAACTGACAAATCAGGGACAATTTTGGACGTCCGTGGTTAACAGAGGAGTTTAACGTACTCTTGTACGGCTTCGGCAAGGTTCGGAAAATTCACTGCTTTGCGGTATTAAGCAATATATTACCCTTTATATCCCATAATGCGGTAATGTTACTACCATCGTACATACTGTAGGCTACAGCACGCTTTGTTCGCTTACGCTGTAGGG